ATATTAGTAGATGATTGCTCAAGGTATACATGGGTAAAGTTTTTAAAGGAGAAGGGTGAAGCTTTATCGAAATTCATTGAGTTTAAGAGGGTTGTCGAGAAAGAGTTTGGAGCAAAAATCAAATGTCTTCGCAGTGACAATGGTGGCGAGTATATGTCAGATAATTTCTTTCAGTTTTGCGATAGTAATGGTATTGCAAGACAGATGACATGTCCAAACACTCCTCAACAAAACGGACTTGCCCAAAGGAAATTAGCTCACCTTGCTTCCACGAGTCTTTCATGGTTGTACGACAAGAGTATTCCGAGGGAGCTTTGGGCAGAAGCTATTCAGTGTGCATGTCACGTGATAAATCGGCTACCTCCTTGGCCAGATGTTCCTTCAATCGATCAAGGAGAGCTCCAGCCATTCCCCGAAAAAGAAGCAAAAGACCCGATCATTCCCATAATTGAAGAAAACCCAATTGATAATCATGGTGAACATGAGCAGTCTAGTGGAAGGAGATCGACAAGGGAGAGGAGACAACCAAATTACCTCAGAGACTATGAGGTACAACTAAACTTTTGCAGTATTTCTTCATGCTTCTTCACGGGAGCTTCAGATGAAGAAGAACCAGCAAGTTACGACGAAGCCAAAAATCATCCGAAATGGACAGCGGCAATGGAAGAAGAAATTGAAGCTTTAAACAAAAATCAAACATGGGAATTGGTTCCAAAACCGGAAAAATGTCAACCTATAACCTGTAAATGGGTTTATCGATTGAAGAGAAAATCAGACGGCTCAATCGATAGATACAAAGCACAACTAATTGCGCGTGGTTTTTCTCAAAGCTACGGACTAGATTATGAAGAGACGTTCAGCCCGGTGGCCAAAATGGTGACTGTTCGATCAATTTTTTCTCTTGCTGCTTTTAAAGGTTGGAAATTATGGCAGATCGACGTAAAGAACGCATTTCTTTACCGGGAGTTGGATAGAGAAGTATTCATGGAGCAGCCTCAAGGATATATTTCTCAATACTCTCCTAACCATGTATGTCGACTTAAGAAAGCGTTGTACGGCCTGAAACAAGCCCCGCGAGCCTGGTACGGTAAAATCGCACAATACTTTGTCTTTTGTGGTTTTAAAATTTCAGATGCAGATTCGAGTTTGTTTATAAAATCTAAATCAAAGATGCATATGTTGGTATTATTATATGTCGACGATATGATAATTACGGGGGATAATGAAGAGGAAATTTCTTTGTTAAGAAAAGAGTTGTCCATTCGATTTGAGATGAAAAATTTAGGGGAGGTAAATTATTTCCTTGGCCTGGAAGTTGAGAAATCAAACTCTGGTTATTTTATTTCTCAAAGAAGATACGCTAACGATCTCCTGCGTCGTTTCGGTATGGGGGAGTCAAAGGAAAAAGCCACTCCAATGGAACCACATCTCAAATTAAGGAAAGATGTAGGGAAGTTATTGACATATTCCAGAAAATTTCGACAACTCGTTGGTAGTTTAATTTATTTAACTATCACGAGGCCCGAAATTTCTTATTCGGTGGAAGTTGTTTCCCAGTTTATGCAATCTCCAAGAAGTTCCCATTTAGATGTAGCTAGAAGGATTCTACGTTACGTAAAATGTTCTCTTGATCACGGGCTTCTGTTCACGAAGTCAGACACTTTTCGGTTAAGCGGTTTTACAGATGCGGATTGGGCTGGAGATGTAAATGATCGTCATTCCACTTCAGGTTATTGTTTCAACACTGGCTCAGCAATGGTCTCGTGGTGCAGCAAAAAGCAATCGGTCGTCGCACTATCAAGCACTGAAGCGAAATATGTAGCGGCAACGATGGCAGCTCAAGAATATATTTGGTTAAAGAGTTTGTTGGGAGACTTGTTTTGCAAAGTTGAATATGCAGTGAAAATTAAATGTGATAACGAAAGTGATATTAAACTTGCTTCAAATCCAGTGTTTCATGGAATAACAAAACATATCGAAAATCGTCATCACTACATTCGAGAGAACGTATTGAAGCAAGAAATCGAGTTGGAGAAAGTTGCCACAAGCGAACAAGTTGCAGATATCTTTACAAAAGCTCTAACAAAGCCTAAGTTTGAATATTTTACAGCTGCACTCGGGGTTGTTGATCGTAAGTATGCACTAAGGGGGAATGTTGAAAATTATTGCATTTCATTTTTTAATTAGTTTAGTAAGTAATTTCGTATTTCTTGTTTTTTACCCGGTCAAAATAAGTTATGCCAGTAGTTAGATTAATATTTTAAGTGGCACATTTATCTCTAATTTGTTAGAGTGAATTTAGGAGTTGGTTACTACTCCACTTCCTATTTATTCACAGCCTGTGTAACTCATTCATACCATCCAGATAATAAGAGAAAATTATTTCCTCCAATATTCTCGTTTTTGCCTCGTTACATTAACTTCACCTCTGTTACTTTTGTTTTAAATGAAATTAGATTAGAAGCTTTAATATACCCTAGATGAAGAAAGATAAATATTAGATTTTTAAGACAATTATGCCCTTCATTCAAATGAAAATCTCGCTAGAAATACACACGGAGTGCAAGTTGCCAAGAGATAAATAATATGAGGGTGCGCTTTGCCAAATTTAGAATTTTGGGGTGCAAGTCACCAATCTATGTTATTTCCCGGGTGTAAGATGCAATTAGAAATATTGAGAGTTTTGAATAACTAAGTACTGAATAATATTAGTGAACTGCTCTTGAAAGCTTTCATGTTTGGATAATATCTATTTGGGATGAAGAGTAAAACTCTCTTTATACAAGAGATATAAAAAAAAAAGAAAATGGTAAATCCAATAATTAGTATACTTGCATGTATAGCCATCTCCACTTTTTATATCTATATAACATCAGACAATAGAGGATGACTAACTTCGTTAAGTTGGTGAGACGTAGCATGGCTTCCCGAGACGGCAGACATCGCAACTTGTTGCATTTGAGTAGTGTTATTGTCTCTATCGAAGAAAAGTTATTGTTCCCGAATAACCAATAAGGTAATTCTTATGTCTCACGAAAATCAGTTAACTGTAGCTCAGAAAGAGCAGTGAGATGTTGAAGTTGACGCTCTGAAAACAAGGAATGGAAAACCTAAAAATAAGTTTCAAAACAAGGCTTCTTCAAGTAATAATAACCAAAATCAGTTTTTTCAAAAACCTAAGAAGGGCAATGTGTGGAGTAAGAACAAAGTTAAAAGCAGAAAATATTACAACTGTGGAAAGCACGTGCACAACCTAATGTTACAACTGATAATCTTGGTGATGTGTTCATGATTGGTGGTTATGTGCATGACTTTGTGGATTAAGTGATTTCATCTCTCTGTGATGATGATAAATAATTTGATGTTGCATGCACACAACATATGACACCTAAAATGCTCTTATTCTCATCCTAAATGAAATTGAAAAATGGTAATGTGTCTATGGCTGATAGCAGTGATACAAATGTAATTGGAATTAGAACTATTTACCTTAAGTTTGAATTTGGTTTTGAACTTCTACTTACAAAATATTAGGCATGTTCCTAATTTGAGTAATAACTTGTTGTCTTTTGTTGTGTTAGAGGATAGTGGTTTGCATGGTAGTTGGGGACATGTTTGCCAAAGGATTTTGAAGAGAATGCAAAATATTATGTGTTATGTTGAACCTGTTTTGCATGCTAATTTGTTAAAAAGACAAGTATGACGAAGGTACTACAGAAAGAGAGAAGGAGACAAGAAGAGAGAGAAGCGCGCAGCTGAATGAGTTGTTAATGTTGAGAGGGAGGAGAGTAAGAGAGAGCAAATGAACGTCCAAGATCAATCACACGAGATGGACGGTCAAGATCAGAAGACTTGGGTAGTGAACTTAAGTTGCTTGGGCCAAATTCCTTGGTTTTAGCTGCTAGAATTAAAAGTCTGGCCCATGTCACGAAATTCATTTGTGGGCTCAATCCTCAATAGTATTAAATAAAATTGCTAATATTTTTATTATACTTTAAAGTTGGAGATAGATTCAAGAGAGTTTTATTGTGATCTATTTTTTTGCTCAATATTTTATTTGATTTACTCCGATGTGTCGATTGCCATCAATTGACATCGCACGTAAATTTATATTGGATCTTGATTTTTCATTCTTTATTCATTCTATCAAATAATAATAAATATTCACATTGATGAGTACTACAAATAATAAAAGGATGATAAATCACGCTCTTTTGACTTTTAATACTAAATATTTTGCTTCTATTGTGTTAAATTTTTTGAAAGTCCATTTACTATTAGATTTTAAATTTTAGCATGTAAATCAAAGAACATTTGTCGTCAGGTTGTAGATTTTTTAGTGCAATATATTTCTTTCTTATTACGAATCAATGTCTCATAAATATGTGTAAATTATTTAATATATTAATATTGGTAACATTTTAAAGAAAAAAAATCACGATTTACGATTCCTACGAGTTCCACTTGCTTGTAGAAATGCTCGAATGAGGATTGTTATGTTGACCACAAACTCAGATATGTTTCTCTAACATATATATAACCTAATGGTTATACTTTGCTGACATCTCTAGTTTTGTCCTTCTTGTCTCAATTTTCCATCTGTCGATTTCCAAGTTGGAAAGGTCTAGTATAATCAACGACTCAGATGGAAAGCTCGACAACAAGGTGAGTTACAATGCATATTAGTTGGAACTTAGCTCAAATCCTCAAATCCAGAGTAGTGAAGAAACTTGTTTGAATTGCCTCGAATTTGAGAAATTTTTCTTAGTTTTTGTCTGGTTTGGCTAAAGGATTACTCTCGTTTTTATTAGAGAACACGGACCTGAATTCAACAAGGCAAAAGTATTTTTCCAAAACCTAAGTACAGAACTAAACACCGGAAGAGTTTCCATCATACTATAACTGATTCACATTACAAAAACTTATTCAAATTAAAAAAAAATATATACTACCAAACAAATAGCATATGTGGTACTTGGGCATAATCTTCTGTTTCAGGTCTAATCCCTGCGCGAAAATCGACATTTGATTTTCTGCAGCTCGGTTAGAACTTCTTTCATGTCTATTCTATCACCAGAAGATTCCGCACAACACTTCAAAGCCAAATCCAGTATTGAAGACACACATTGCACGTTATTTTCAAAGCCTTGTTCGTTTACTGTATTCAATAAATTGACATCTATAACCTCACTTGATGACTCGTTATTAAGTGAGCTTTGAACCCAATTCTTTAAGGTTAAATCTCCATCGAACATATCATCACTCGGTTTTTTCTCGTAAAAGTTTCCATCACCATCACTCCATAGCTATAAACATCACACCTTGTCGATACTAGCCCTTCCAAACCATATTCTATAAAAAAAACAATAATATCATATAGTGCAGTAAATCAAAAGTCAAATCCAATTGATAATATATAAAAATGGTATGGGTTCAAAGTGAGAATGTTAACCTGGTGCAATGTATCCCATTGTTGCTAGGGTGTTGGTGTGCATAGTGCTCTCACCTTCGCCCAACAATTTTGCTATCCCGAAATCACTCACATGGGCAACCATCTCTTCATCTAACAACACATTGCTTGGCTTCAAATCGCAATGAACAATGAGAATCGAATAGCCATGGTGAAGATATTCTAACGCACATGCAACATCGATCATTATGTTCAATCTTTGCATGAGATCCAAGCAATAGTTGTGGGAATATACCCATTTTTTGAGGTTTCCATTTGGCATGTATTCAAGTACTAGTGCCTTGAAATCCTCGTTAGAGCAACTGCTAATGACTTTGGTAAGATTTCTGTGACGAATGTTGCGCAATACTTCACATTCGACTACGAAGCTTATACACGCAGCTTCCGATAGCGAATTAAAGACCTTGACAGCGGAAATCCTCCCATCTCTTCGAACGGCTTTGTACACGGAACCAAAACCCCCCATGCCTATTAAATTCGTCTCACTAAAGTGTTCAGTTGCTTGTAAGAGTTCGTAATACGAAATTCTTTCTGGTAGAGCGGGAACGAGCCCGTCAATTCCATTGATTGCCTTATGTTTTCTTTTGTATCTTACGGAAATGAAGGCCAAAGAGAGAAGCAAGATCAATGCAACAATTCCACTAGCAATAAATAAAGTTAAGCGCATTTTTTTCATCCTTGACCTGTGTTTGAAAACATTATGGTGGCAAAGTGGTACATTAAACCTTGGAATTCCACATAATTCATCATTCCCCTTAAAAGACTCGATAGTGAAGTTTACGAAAGGACCCCCAGTGGGAATTTCTCCTCTTAGAGCATTAAAAGAGACATTAAGGTAGTCGAGGTATTGAAGTTTTTCAAAAGACTTTGGGATTGAGCCGGAGAGGCTATTGTAAGACAAGTCTATACTTATCAAACTGATCATCCTCCCCACTGAATCGGGAATAAAACCTTCAAGTAGATTATGTGCCAAAGACAGAGCATTCAAAGATATTAAATTTTCGATTGTGCTTGGAATAGACTCTGAAAACTGGTTCATTGATAGATTGATCAGAATTGTTTTCAATAAATTACCTATTTCTGGAGGTAGAAATCCAATCAAAGAATTTGACGAGAAATCTAAATACATCAAATCCCTGAGGCGCCATATGCTTGATGGTATGCTTGAAGTCAGCATGTTAGATTCTAGAGACAGATCTCTTAAAGATGTGATATTTCCTAAACATTCAGGTATTGGACCGAAAAAATTATTTTGGCTTAAATATATGTAGACGCATAAAATTAATTAATTGATTAATTAAATTAGCCAATTAAATTGTGTCTAAATTAAATTATAATTTATCTTGCAAAATAAGTCATGGAGATAATTATCAATTAATTATTGGCCAATAGGATTGTTTCTTCTTTTCCAAGTTATAAGAGATAAATATCAATTTAAAGAGAGCCAATCAAATCGCGCCACGTCATCAAGTAGACTTTAAGTAGGACTCTTATTCTACCACTATAAATAGGGACCCTCCCTACACAATTCAAGACAACAACTCAAGAAGAATAAAAATCGTAGGAGAAAATTATCTCTACAACATTCAAGTCATCTTCATCAAATTCAAGGCGTTCTTCATCAAATCGAGGGCGTTCTTCAACAAATCAAGATCGAAGGAAGATTGAAGGGCCAAATCCATCAAGAACTCCAAGATCTTCAAGTCAAAACCCGTCAAAGTTCAGCGTTCGATCCGAGATTCAAGTCTCAAGACCCTCGTAAGACGTTATTCAAATCCAAATCAAATCCGGAGAAGATCAAGTCAACGACCCGTCTCCGAAAATTCAAGTCAAACGCATATCGTTCTTGAGAGAAGAATCAGAGGATTAAAATAGAGTTTGTAGCCTGCAATTTATTTATTTTAATTCAATAAATTATATTTGTGCAGTTTTTCTTGTTTGTTTATATCGCAGATAAGATTTTGTTGCTACAATATAAATCAACCAAGTTGTGTAAATCACAAAGACCTTCTGGAATGGAACCTCTCATATCATTGTTATATAAATATAATCCTTGAAGCTTCTGCAAATAGTTGATAGTAAGTGGAATGTTACCAGACAACCCGTTCATGTATAAAGAAAGTTTCACAAGGTTGCTTAAATTTGCGATTTCTGCAGGAATGACACCATTAATGTTACAATTGTAGACATATAAATACTGCAGCGAGGTAGAGAAATTCCCAATGGAAGCTGGAAGGATGCCACCTAAAGGATTATCACCAATTGCGAGCACTCTTAATGATCTGCAATTCGTCAAGGAAGTTATGAAGCTCAATTCCGAAGAAGTTGATTCGGTCCTTAGATAGTTGACGGCTAGGGTTATATATTCAAGGTGTCTTAGGTTACCCAGAAAATGAGGTACAAAACCAGTGAACTGGTTTAAAGCGAGTTGGAGAATTCTGAGTTTAGAACAATTAGTGATGGAATCGGGTATTGTTCCAGTGAGGTAGTTTGTATGGAGATAAAATGTCTGAAGAACGGATAATCCATGACCTAAATTAGTTGGAAGACTGCCTGACAGACTATTTTCTGAAAGATCAACATCTATAAGATTTGACATGTTAAAGAGTTCTAATGGAATAAAACCAGTGAAGGAGTTGGAGTACAATTGTAATACTTCCAGTTGGTAAATTTTGCCAATTTCTCGCGGTAAACCACCTGTTAAAATAAAAAATAAAAAAATAAAAATTAAACATTACAACTATAAAGAAACTAATAATATTGCAAGTTGTTAGAATCCTATTTGAATTCTAATTTCATGTGGGGATAAAATAAAATAAAAATTCAATCTTTATCTCATTACTAGACTTGAGAGAAGGGGGAAATTATTTAACCCATATATTACACACGTCATGTGCGTGCAAGGCGGACCGTGAGACATTTAGTGGGGGCTAATCTTCTGATAAAAATAATGAAAAGTAAAAAAACAGAATAATAAATAAATGTAGATAATTTAATCTACGTTTATTTGATCAACATGAATCGTATTATTTTTCAATGGTTTGGGTTTATGTGTACATTAGAACAATCAAACCTAGCTATATTAAATGTCAAAGAACTCTATGGATTTCAAACTTAAACAATCCCTAAATATTAAAAATAAAATTACGTAACTCGTTAAGATAATTCAAGAAAATTCTAACATGCAATTAAAGAATGAGAAAAGAAATAGCGATTAAAAGGGAGATAAATAAATGAAATTTGTTAATTGTCTTAAGAATTTCTAATGGTGATATATAATATAAAGAAAAGAAACCTATTGGAAAATTTATTACTATTTTGATGATTGTTTCCTAATTTTAAAACTATGTTCTTTTTAAAATTAAATAAAATTAAGAAATAAAAATATATTATTAATTAATCATCTAAAAGTCTTATTTAAGAGTGAGGATTTACAATTTTTCATTTGTTTTTTGTGGTAAAAATTATATATTATATATGTATATAGATAATTGAAAAAATCATGGGGGGGGCAGCCCCTCCATACCATCAAAACTTGAAAGCATCAGCCCCTGTGTGCGTGTGAATCCAAGAAGGGAACTTATTATTTTATTTTATTAAATGTCATTTATTGGTAATCTGTTTTATATGAGAGTAGTTGGTTTATAAGAAAAAAATAAGATCTTCCATATCTTAATATATCTCCTACGTGATTAAGAATCTCTAACATAAATTATTTTTTTTGCTCTCTCAAAGAGGGTTTTTCATAAGAAAAATCAAGATTCAAACTTTGTTTCTTTGAAGATAAAAGAAGATCAGTTCTTCGGGAGGAGGTCTTAGAAGATCTCGGGATGAAGCCGATCCGCCGACTGAGGTTTCATCGTTGAAGGGAGTTCAACGGCTTCAACAAAGAGGGAGTCTTTGCGTTTTGACTAAGTTCTATTATTGTATTCGTAAAAAGGAAGTTAGTAAATTTCGTTTGCAGGTCCCCATGGATTAGGATACATTTGTATGCGAACCACGTTAAATTTATGTCGTTTTATTACTGATTTATCAACTGTTGCAACACTTAACAAAACATTAACTAAAGCTGAATCTATAATTAATTTGAAACAAATCAAAATATTTGCACGAAATAATTCTAACACAAGTCTTACCTGTTAAATTGTTGACTGAGATATCCAGTTCGTTGAGCTTTGTAAGATTCCCGATATCTTTTGGAAGGTTTCCGTACAGATGATTGTGATGTAGTCGTAAAAGTTGGAGAGAAGAAATATTGAAGATACTGAGGGGAATTGTGCCACTAATCTGGTTTCGATCAATGGCAAATTCAGTCATGTTCTGAAGATTCTCAATCTCGAACGGGATAACACCTATAGAACACCAAAAAATATATAATCATCATGATATTGAGGCTTCCAACTTTCTTGAAATGAAATTGTGATGGAGCTTGAAATTAAAGAAGAAAGAGAAAATCAATGTCAATTATAACGACATTGTATTTAAACAAGAAATGTAAAACTAACCCGCAAGGGTGGCCTAGCGGTTGGAGCAAGGGAGCTTGGGTCAATTGACCCAAGTTCGAATCCCCTTGTCAACGGTCGCTAGGTCGAGCTTGTCACACATGGTTAGCCTAGTGTGGTTTACATCTCTCGTATGGTTTGCAAGCTATTATACGAGAGTGTAGGTTTACCCAGTGCACCTATATGGTTGGCTGCGGGTTCCTGCATTACCAAAAAAAAAAAAAAAAAAAAAAAGAAATGTAAAACTATATCAACCTTGTTCAACAAGAATGTGAAGTATTGTACCATTTAAATTGTTGTTCGCGAGATGTAATATCCGAAGAAATTTTAGCTTGACAATCTCTCTAGGTATCTTCCCACTAAATAAGTTGTCGGACAGTGATACCAATCGAAGTTGTGAACATTCGGATAGATTTAACGGAAGTTCGCCACTCAACTTATTGAAATATAGGTCAATTTCTTGAAGAAGTGGAAGTTTACTACACAAGTCACTTGGAATGCTGCCACTCAATTCGTTTTCTCGGAAAGATATAACTTTCAAGGCCGACAGGTTAAATACGGATGACGGTATATGACCGGAGAGATGATTGTAGTCCATGTTTAAAGTGTGCAGATTGTGAAGCCTCCCTAACACATGTGGAATATTTCCTTGAAGATAATTCGAAGAAAAATCAACAACTCGTAGATTTGTCAGATTAGAGAGGGAACTCGGGATGAAACCGGTAAAGCTATTATTTTGCAAGGAGATAAACTTCAATCTGTGTAGAAGAGACAATTGTTGATGAATAACACCACTGAAAAGGTTGAAACTAAGATCGAGTGAAACAAGGAAGGAAAGGTTTTCTATTTGTGGTGGAATTGTGCCCGAGAGACTCATGTGGGAAATATTCAGTGCAGTCACTCGATGGTTGCGCAAATCGCATGTGACGCCAATCCAGCTACAGACAGAGCTCGAATTGGTCCAGTTGCTTGTAATAATACCATAAGGGTCCAAATTGACGTGTGGTTTAAGAACGAAGAGAGAGAATTGATCTACGGCGAGGGTGGTTGATTTTTTTACGGCTACGCAAGAACACGATATTTGGAGTAGGACTGATGTACATGCAAGAATGTAATAGCAAGTTTTCTCCATGGCTGCAAAATACAATGGTGATATCTATAAAGAGAATAGAGTTATCCAATTCTTGAATGCAAAGACAAAAGTCTTGAGTTTATGATTTGTATATAGTTTCGGTTGAAATTTATATAGGGAAAACACATAAAAAAAAAAGTAGGGTAAATTATACCTACACCCATGAGGTATGCTAAAATAACTTTAAGGTCTCTATAGTATCGGTAATTACAATCACTCCCCTGAAACATCGTTAGAAACTGTGACGGGATAATGCATTAGATACGTGATTCTGATAGATTTCTAACGGACTATTAGTTTCAGGAAGTGATGGAGACAACATCGATCTAAGGGCTGACATGGCTCCCCCAACATTTCTTAAATCACCACTAGCTCTATGTTGTCTCCACTACATCCTGAAACTAATATCCCGTTCGAATTTTATCTGAATAACGTATCCAATGCATTATCCCATTTGAGTTTCTAACAATATTTCAGGGGGTGACTGTAATTATCAAGACCACAGGGACCTTAAAGTTATTTCAGCATACTTCAGGGGTGTAGGTGAAATTTACCCTAAAAATCATAAAGAATTAAGAATTAATAATAAAAAGTTAGAATATTTTAGTGAGACTGAGAATGAGATAATTGAGTGCAAATAGATAAATTAATTAAGTGGCAGACAAAAGAACCTCTCTCTTTTTTTTAAATGATAGCCTAAGAGATTTTACCTGTTCTCTTTACTTGATAATTTCATAGTCTTCACTCTTGGTTTTAATTTTCCAAAGTGTTGCAAATAAATAAATAAAAAGTGTGGTCCGATTTCTCTAGTTTTTCCACAAACTTGACAAATTGAATGCCAGCAGCCAACAAAGATTTGTGCTAACTGGTGGAGGTTTTAGAAGCCATTAAATTTTATATATACTGGCATTTTTTTTCTTTTCATTGTGCCAATCACAGGGTATCCTGATTTTTTAATACGCACTAATCAGAAAATAATAAGCTTATTTCACAAACCGCGTTATCCCTTGTAAAAAGTGAAAAAATGTAGCTGAGAAAAGAGGCAATCTTTCAAAAAGATATGTCCATGGAAATAAAAAATTTATAATTTCATATTGCACTTCCGGAGCCATCTATTATCTGCAATGGGGTGTGATATGATTTTTTAACTTTGTACCTTGCACAGTATCACACTTGAATGTATTTTATGATGAACGCATGCAATAGTCATATTTGTCCATGTTCATCATGTACGTGTGATCAAAATTCAACTCCACCTCAGGAATCTATCCTCTAAGGGAGTATACTCAAAATCACTCGATCTTGGGAATCACACCATCCAAGAAAAATTATACATGGATACACTCAAAATACCTCAATCACGGGAATCACACATTTCGAGAGAGATATATATGTACAGTGGGTACAAAATAAGCCCAAAACCGCTTGAGTTTGGGCTTGCTGTTAATAGCCTCTAAATTGGCACTTGATGGGTCTTACTACGTCTTACGACGTCTTATACCAACTCTACGAGCTTTAGGCTCGGAGTTATATTCAGATCTTTTGCCTTTAAATTGGTTTTTGATGGATATTACTGTGTCTTGACTCAACGAGCTTCACGCTGGGATTTTTTTATTATTAATTTTTTTTTACGGCCCTAGCCTTTAAATCATATTTTGACGAATATTATCACGTCTTGACTCAACGAGCTTCAGCTCGGAGTTATATTCGGGATTTAACCTCTAAATCAATTTTCTTATCTCAACGATTTAGACTCGGAGTTACATTATCGATTTAGCCTCTAAATCGACTTTCTTGTTTCAATGAGCTTAGGCTCGAAACTATATTTGATTTACTTGATGGGAATTCCAACGGCGTGACTCAACAAGTTTTTTAGCTCAGAGTTATATATTTAGACCACTATACGGTCTCTGTTAAACTCTATGAGTACTATGCCGAAGTTAATAAGATAGTCTCTAAATCGGCTTTAAACGGAGATTATTATTTCTCTAACTCCACGAGCATTAGGCTCGGAGTTAATCTCATAGTCTCTTCAACTGAAATTATTATGTCTTTTACTCGACGAGCATCATGCTCGAAGTTAATATCTTGGCCTCTAAGTCGGCCCACAGATCTGTTAGAATTAGCATTTGCTTATAGCACAGGCTTGCAAATATAAATTTCAACGGCAATTCAGCAACTATATGAATTATATATGTATATACACGAATCCATCATATCATTTGAAAAATAATAGCGTATAAAATACCAAAGTATTCGCACACAAGCTTGCAAATATATATTTCAATAGCAATTCAGCAAATATATATATATATATATATATATATATATATATATATATATATATATATATATATATATATATATATATATATATATATATATATATATATATATACACACGAATCAATCATATCCTTTGAAAAATGATAGCGTATAAAATACCAAAGTATTCGCTCATCATTCTCGTTTGTCTTTTTGACAATAGTATTAAGGATCTTCGTAATATAAAATAAAAAAATAAAATTAGCAAATCCTTATCGAACAAAACATCGTGCTTACGTGTTATAAAATAATCCTATTAATCACAAAAATATAAATACGTATATGATTAATAGGGGCTCTTTGATATAACTCATCAATACTTATTTTAATAGGGAACGGCCCAAATTATTTTGCACAATTTGAGAAAAATCCACTCCAAATTTCAGCCACCCATTTTTCCATTTATATCCCTCCACCTTACACACTATCCGCATGACCCATCAGCCGTGTCTTTCTTTTATTTTTTTTTCTTTTTAAATTTTTTTTAATTTATTATTATTTATTAAAAAAATTATTATTATTATTTTTTTTTCTTTTTTCGTTTTTTAACTTTTTTTCTCCATCAGGTATATTAGTTGACTATTATTAAATCGACTATGATGAACTATAGTCAATTAAGGAACCGACTACTAAAAATAACAAATCACAACTACAAAAATGCAAACTCAACTATATTTTACAAAAACAAACAATATACAAACATTATAACTGATTTATACAATTGGAATCAATAAACAAAAAATCCAAAAAAAATTAAAAATTGGAGTATTAATCGACTATGATGTGAAGCATAGTCGATTAAGAATCTGCTACTAAAACAACAAATCACAACTGCGAAAAATGTAAAATCAACTATATATTACAAAAACAAAAAATATAGAAATATTATAAATGATTTATACAATTGGAGTCAATAAATAAAAAAAAAATAAAAAAAATAAAAAAAAAAAATTTGGAGTCGATTAACCTTAATCGACTACCAGAGTATAGTCGATTAGCTTAATCGACTATGAACATGTACATAGTCGATTAAGGTTTCAGCCTGCGCGAAATTCTCTACACTCACCGTCATCCGCCCGATCCACCAAAAAAACCCTAAATCTGCGTCCTCATCATCATTCAACCAATCCCTAACAAGAATAAAATAAATAAAACAAATTAGACACGGCGGGCCGGGTTTGACCCGAACCCGCCCCGTTGACCACGGACCCGCCCAAGCACGGGTCGGTTTCGGGTTCTCGGGCCCCCCGCCAGTAGACCCGTCGGGTCAACCCGGATTTTGGGTTTTTTTTTTGTCCAAAAATTGAGCATTGGGAGATTCGAACTCAAGTAAATGGGCAAAATTGAGCAACTCTGATCACTGGGGCAACGAACATATTTAATTAAATGTATATAATAAATATATATATAATATAAAACGATAGTGTAAAATGATAAATATGTTAAATAAATTATTAATTTTCATATTAATTATTATTAAATAATTTTAATTAAATTATTAACAAATGCAATATAAGAAACTTTTAAAAATATATGTAGAACCACGGTTCAATACTTCAAAACATCTATTATTAATTACTATATCAATATAATCTCCACTATTGAAAAATATAAAGTATTGAATCAATTCAATATATAAGCAAAAGCGTTGACCTATACAAACTCACTTATGTTATTAAAATCGATAGTGTGAAAAATTCGAATGAAAAATAAAAAAAGATGTTTATTTAAAAAAATAGATTATAACTCATTGCAATTAATTTAAATTAATCAGCCTCAATTGTGGACAAGAACTTATTAAAATTATTGATTATTTTATCATAAGATAATTATTTAAAAATATAGATGATGTTTATTTTAACAAAAATAGATTATATCTCATTCGATTCAAATATTAGAATCGAATCGTAAGATTTAAATGAATTAAGCTCAAGTCCTTTCAATTTCTTTTAATTTTTTATTATATTATATTTGTTAATAATTTAATTAAAATTATTTAATAATAATGAATATGTTAATTAATAATCTATTTAACATTATTTATTATAATCATTTTACACCTTTTGTTTATGTTATATATATTCTTTGTTATAATAATCCTAACTATAAATATATAAATCTTATATATAAAAGAAAGAAACGTTGGGCAACCCTAAAAAACCCTAATGATATTTCAGTAATTATTTATTTTTAATATTTTTTCTCTACTAATTTGTAACTATAATTTTAACAATTATCAATCTTCCATTTTTCATCAATATATTCTCAAATCTTAAGAGATAAAGATATACGATTTTTTAAATCTTAATCTATATATTTGGATTATAAATCTTAATATTTAAGATTTTACGAAATCAATGTTATATAAAATATGAAAAATACTACATTATTAAATTTTACTATATTACTGTACGATATGTTATTATTATGTATTAAATTGATTCTTTTTTTAACTTTTGAAATAATATCCCGTGCATCGCACGGGGAAAAAGTGCTAGTATAAATAACATTGTAAAATGATTATAATAATTGTATAACTAATGTTTTATAAATTATTAATTGTCATGTTGACTATTATTAATATCAAAAATCTCGACTAATAACAAATGCATATATATTTAATTTTGAATTTTTTTAAAAAATACGATTAATTTAAAAGAAAGATTGAATTTTGA